TGAAGTAGTAGAATACCTCATTTTTTTTTAAAGGAAAATACAAATGGTTCAAAATTTTAAAACAGATAAAAAGCAGATGCATGAGTTTTTTTCTCTTACTCAATCCCCAGCCATTTTGCTTTCTGGAGGTAACCACAGTTACTAGATTTTTTGTGTATTCTTTCAGTGATATTCTGTGTGCATATATACAAGTATATGCATGTGTGTGTTATTTTTAACATAAATGGTAACGTATCTTTTTTTCCTACTTGGGAGATGATGATTCATGTTAGAATATTAGTTGCTTTCTCAGTCCATTTTAATGCTGCATAATATTCCATTTTATGGTTATATCGTAATGCATATAATAGTCCCCTACTAATGGTTATATAAGTTGCTCCTTATCTTTTGCTTGTTCCCAGCAGTGCTGCAGTGGATAGTCTCATACATACATATGCAAGTATCTCAAGGAGGAACTGCTGGGTCAAAAGATGATCTGCAAGCCTTTTTTCACTCCTTGCTTCCCTTAACGTGATTGTGTGTGTTGCCTCTGCATCTGTTTGTCATGTGCCTCTCGCCCACAGTGTTTGCCTTGTGGAGCCCACTTCTTTCTGTAGAATCTGGCTTAATGCTCACACTCTCCAGGAAAGTTTCTTGACGATTCAAATCAGGTCATGGCATTTATTCCCTTGCGTCTCATATCACTTAATGTGCTGTTTCTACTCTCATGAATAACAATTTAGTGTATTTGCCTTGACGGCCCAAAAGAGTTTTAGTTTTTTTTAAAATCAGTCTTATTGTAATTAATGTATAAAAGTGGGTGAATAAATTGCTGAAACTTTATTCTATGCTAGCTATTCTACTTGGCTTTGTAGAAAATGTAAAAGATCTTTGGAGACAAACAGGTCTTTGCATGTAATCTTTTAATTTATCAATCTTTTTAGGAATATGTAAATACTACAAAATATTATGCTGTTATTTTATATTTAAGCAATAGTAGTTCTAACTAGGAATTTTTGCTGTTGTTTTTTGTGTGTTTGTAGATCAAACAAGCACTTTTGTCATTTTCATATTCTGGTGTTTTTGTCTAGAACAAACTCAAGTCACCATTGGTGCCACACACTGGATAGGAATAGATACATGTGCAGATAATTTGGATGAAACAATAAGTTAAAATTCCTTTGTGACTGTTAAAGATATTTTAAATATGAACAGAATCTATAATTCTAGTGTTTTAGGTATTTTAGAAGAAGTTTGTTCTACAAAGGTAAAATCTGATTCTGTAGAGATACTCCAGTAAAGATATTCTTCACTGGACTTTGCCACTTTACACTTTATGTACTGGCACTGCCAAAATGTAGTGAAGAGTCAGTAATGGACAGGCATATGTCACAGTTATGCATGTCGGGGCATCACATGAGTACTTGTGTGTGTCTGCATTCTGTAGTGTCTGTTTCATTATTTGAAGTGTCTGCTTTTCACACTCAAGCCAGTTGAAAAGTAACATTTTCTTTTTTCATCTTTTATTGGAACATCTGTTTTTAAGATTTGGGTAAATAAGGCTTGTCTCATTGCATAAAACTTGTGAAGAGACAGTGTCCCCCATGTTCCTATACACTTTACCTCAGTAGCATCCCTCTTTCCCAGCCCCCTCACTCAGAAGGAGTGCTTCCGGATCTTTTTTAGTTTTTTTTAATTTGTAGTGTGCTTTCAATTATTTCTCATAGAATCTTTATGATGCAGATTTTCTGTAAACATTAACAAGGTGGTAGTCTTATCAAGTGAAGGTTTATCTAAGTGAATATAAGGAACGGTGTTAAAACCGGAGCCACTCTTACTTCCGTGTCTTCTTTTCTCAGTTTTCTCTGTCAGAGAGGTATCAGTTGGTTCTTTATGAATCAGTTTCCTCACCAATTCATAAATAACCTGTTGAGGTGATATTGTTGAAATAATCTGTATACAGATATTAGGTTATTTTGGTGAGAGAGAACTTATTTTTATATATGATAGAATTTCAGATATGACCTAAAATGTAATCTTAGCTTTTGAGTCATGAAAAAAAAAATGTGTTGAAAAGTTTAAAACACCTTTTTAGATACATAAAGAAACTACAAATTTGAAATATATTTGACCCTTGAACAAACATGGGTTTGGACTGCATGAATCCATTTATATGTGGATTTTTTTCAATGAACATACTGGAAAATTTTTTGGAGATTTGTAACAATGTGAAAAAATTTTCTTCTCTCCAGCTTGCTTTAAGAATGCAATACATACTACATATAACATACAAACTATGCATTAACTGTTTTGATTGGTAAGGCTTCTGGTCAACAGTAGTTAAGTTTCTGGCGAGTCAAAAGTTACACATGGATTTTCAACTACACTGGGAGTCGGTTCTCCAACCCTCATGTTGTTCAGTTGTTAGAGTCAACTGTATTTTGTCTGTGAATTTTAATATTTTTATTTATGAGTCTTAGGAGAAATACTTAAACATATATTTAGCTGCTGAATAGTTCAGAAAAAGTTACAGTGAAATGCTAAAGGGACTTCTGACTTAAATTCCATTGATTGGGCAGATGGTTTTCATAATTTATAATTTCCAGGCGAAATTTTTGAAAAATGGGGGCAATGTATAGATTGGAAAACTGGTTGAAAGAAATTTTGTTTATGGAACCACTGCCTGGAAGAGTGGTGAAAGTTTTGGCTCAATACCAAGTCAGAAAAACTTGTCATTTAAAGATAAATTAAAGAGACCCCTCCATGCTGGCAAACCATAGGCAGAAGTCTTTTTTTATTTTTTTATTTTTATATATTTTTATTTTGGTTTCATTAATCTACAATTACATGAGCAACATTATGGTTACTAGGCTCCCCCTATCAGCAGAAGTCTTTTCTATCCATAGTTTAATGAAAGTACTTTATATGTCATTGATTTATATACATAAACCTTTGTGACCTCCCAACTGTACAAGCTTCATTTTCTATCAGCCTTCATTACTATTCAGTGTCATTGATCTGTATCAGTATAACAATTTCATATATATTTCCTGTCTGAATATAGTATAAGAAGTGATCTAGGACTATATTGCTATTATATAGTCAAGTTTAAACTAGACCATAATATATATGTGTCAATGTATTCTTAAAGTATTTATTTTAAAAATGTCATTTGAAATCAGATTGGGATGCAAGTAAAGACTGTTAGATAACTTTAACTCTTCAGATAAAGTTTTTCTTCCTTTCACCTAGTATTTACAAATTAGAATCTGAAATCTAAAGAATTAGTTTAAATTTCTTATTTCTTACAGTAGTGATTTAGACCTTTTTTTTTTTGGTGAGTGTAAGATTTGAAATTTTAACATCTGAGCATCTTCTAGAGAGGCCACTTGGGATAGTGGGAAGATTCAGAGTCCGTCCAGGAGACGTGGGTTACAGTCCCCATCTCTGTTACTTTCTTGTTCCTGGACTTTAGGCAGTTCATACACCCCCTTGTTTTGGTCCCTCAGTTTTCCTCATCTCTGAAGTGAGGTCAGTTAAAATCACTACAAGTCCAATTAGCTCTAATATTCTGTATAAACTTGTTTTTAAGTTGTAGAGTTTTTCCTTTAGAAATTTTACATATGAAACATGGAACTAGTGGGAATGAAGGGTCAGAGCAGCTCGCTTGCTCTGAGTACAGGGCTGCAGCCCTTTCCCTACGTTTTGCCTCCTGTGTGTCTGGCTGGACAGGCAGAGCCTCCCCGGTGACGGACTGTTCCTGCTTGCTTCCAGGGGCTATCAGCAGCAGGATGCCCACGAATTCATGCGCTACCTTTTGGATCACCTGCACTTGGAACTCCAGGGCGGTGTCAATGGTGTTTCCCGCTCAGTAATTCTTCAGGAGAATTCTACTCTGTCTGCAAGTAACAAATGTTGCATGTAAGATGTAGTTTCCTTTTTTTTGAAGGAAGACCTCAGGCATTCCTGTTGGTATTTTTATTAGATTTACAATGGAAGGTAAAGTGTTTTCCTGGACCTTTGCTAAAACTTTTGTGCACCTGAACTTTATGACCAAATGGACTAGCATGTGCCTCCTGCTTGCAGACTAGAGGCATCTTTTGTTTGCATCTTGGTTTCATTCTGGTTGTTTTTGGTATAGATTATTTTAAAACTTGAAAAAACAATAGAAAATCTTACCATTTAGTACTTAAAAATTTTCCTTCAAGTGTACTTAGTAATGCATGGGAGTCCTAGTTTTTGTATGCTAAAATAATTATAAATACAAATGTTCACTAAAAACAAAGGCTTAAAATATTTTGTGAATTTTCTTAAACCCTCATTTTGGACTTGAATTTTCCTAAAGCATATCTGTTTTTTAATTAACTTGAGGCATTTCTAAGTTCTCAGAACTTTTCATCTCAGTATGCACAAAATAAACATTTTGGATTGCTTTCCCAGGTATTGATACCCTAAAATATACAATGAGACTAGAATATTTATTTGCTTGAGGTAGGGATGATTTACTGTTATTTTAGCCTGGTTTTGGTTAATTGTAGTCTCCTTTTGTTCACATTTTTGAAAAGTTTTGTATTGACCTATGCAGGAAAGGGATTTACAAGATGAACACCCCAAAGAAAGAAAAAAAAGAGTAAGTAATATCCAGGGGTTGCTGTAATATTGCCTGGCAGTCCATAAATCTGATTCAGTGTAAGATCAGGTCTCTTTAGTGACAGAGCAGCCTCCTAGCTAATCTGGCTGTGTTAGAGAAGAGCAACCACATGAGTTTCCCTACTTCTCAAAATGTTTGGCCCTCCAGGTCCTAGTAGCTGTGATTCCAATCAGCATTCAAAATAGACAGGGAAGGACCTGTGAGCTGGTAGAATCGTTCTTGTTACTGGCACCAAATTAAAAATAGTATTAAATGAAAAATTGTTTTGTATTTTATGATGGCATATTCACTTACAAAGCATATTGAACTGGGCTCTACCGAGGATGTGAAGTGAGAGGGTATTGTCCTTACTGTTTTGTTTGATGTCCAGGGTGTCCTCATGCAATCACTTTGTATAACAGTCATAGGATATTCTTTTTGTAACTAATGAGTTTCCAATATTCATCCATAACCTTTCATGATATTTTAAGAATGTTAACTGCAAGTTCCATCAGTGAGTTAGGAACAGAAAAAAATTCAAAAATTCAAAATTCAGGTTTCCTTATATTTCCTTAAATTCGTTGGAGGAGACATTGCAGGCTCTAAGAATTGTATTTGCTGAAACTACAAAAAAGGTCTCCTGTGCAATACAGTGTTTACTTAAAGATCAGGGTGGGAATGGTAGAAATAAGTGGCAGATGTGTTTTTAGTACATAGAAAATCGTTAGTGCTGGTATAAAGGAGCCAGCAGTGTAAAAGCTTGTCCAAGTAGCCAATATCTAAACATTCTTGGTGTGCAGTTATAATAAACAAGAGCGATTTTGAAATTATTTACAAATATTGTTTTAAGTCATTGTATACCTAAACTTAATGCCACTTACATCAGACAGCCAAGACTTGATTGATATTCTTCCCTTTAAGGAAGAACTACATTGAGTTTTAATGTGTTGCTTTTGAATAATGCAGTTTCCATTTTAATTAAAAGGCAGCACTGTATGTGAACATCGGCATGAAAGAATCAGTCATAGTCCTTTTTTTTTTCTTTCAAGATTTTTTTTGTGTATATGTCCTTTGTTTGTGACACAGGTATTAAGCCTAAAACCTGAAATGGCTGTTGTGTCTTACAGTTCTGAATGTATCATCTCTTTTGGTTCAATTTACGTAAGCCATATACCTTATGAACAACTTAAAAAAAAATTAAAGCTGTAGTATATTCTTTTGCCAGTAAAGGAAGGAAGCCCTTACTTAGAAAAGGAAACAAACTTCTAAAATCATAGAATTGCTTGGGTAGGTTTTGTTTCTCAATGTCGTAGATTTAATTTGGAGCAACTCAGAAAATATGGTTCAGTGTTGTAGGAGTATTATTGATTGCAAGTGATAGAAACCGCCTCAGATCGCCTTTAGGTGAAAAAGAGCATTTTACTGGCTCAAGTAATTGCATAAGTGTACAAAGGTTAACACATATGTGTTGGGTGTAGTCTAATTAATGTTAGAAAACAATTGAAACATTAATACTATATTGGCTAAATTATAAGAAGGAACATAGGGTTAAGAGCAGCAGCTTAGACCAGGATCAGCTATGTGACCTTGGACCAAGTAAACTTTGGACCTCAACTTCCTGGTCTGTGAAATGGGAATAATTGCATCTACTTCTTCATGGATTTAGTATGTGGACAGTACGTAGGATAGAGTGTGGCATACAGGAAGTGCTGTAAAACAGCATTTGGGTCACTTTCTTGGTTGGTCTTGTATCTGTTCTGCATCCATACTGTGGCATGCCATGCTGCTGTCAAAGCGTGAGGGACAAGTTCAAGATGCTTACTTAGGGGAAAAAGAAGCAAAAGGCAGGTATGATCCTAATAATTATGCTAATAAAATAGCCCCCAAACACCGTAGGGCTTTGTTTTTGGTAAACACTTTTCTAAAAGGACTGTACATAGATACTTCATTTCATCTTCACACCAGGCCCAGTCTGAGGTAGATAAATGGTATTCCCGTTACACATCTGATGAAGTTGAAGCCCAGAATGGTTACCTAACATTAGGACAACTGGTTTTGTATTGTGCTTAAAGTGGTGTGTTCTTGATTTCCACAAGGAAATTACTTAAAACATTCAGTGAAATTTTTAAAAGGCTTGTTGACAATGACATCAAGCACTTCTATTGTGAAGTCATAACTCCATCAATAATTACTAAATATGTGTTAAATTTCTTTACCTCTTTTTCCCTCAAATCTGACAGATGATCGTTTAAACAATCTAAAACTATCTCCAGTGAAGGGTGTTTTGAAAGTAAAGTAATTGAGACAGCTCCCTGTAATAGGACAGGCCTTGCAAAGATCCAAATACAAGGCAGTTGTCTTCTTTGAGGGACATATTTGGAAGGGCTGTAGGGTCCTAAGTATAGGCATGTGTGAGACCCGTTTGTTAGCAATGGCAAATGTCCAGTATTAGTTACTTTTGGAGAAAGTAATGGGATTGGAAGAGGGTCTGGGGATGGGCCAGTCAGTGGCATATACCTTTTATTTAGTATAAATCTGTATAGCTTTGAAGTTTTTATTATTGCATAAATATAAATGATATACATATTCCTCCAAGGGGAATCACCTATAAGAGCTTTTACATATAATTGTTTTTTACTGAGATATTTTCCTGTGTGGTGATTCTCTTTAGAAATGGAGCATCTACAGTTGTCACAGCTATATTCGGAGGCATTCTCCAAAATGAGGTGAACTGCCTCATATGTGGGACAGAATCTAGAAAGTTCGATCCATTCCTAGGTAAGGCATATTTGGCATGTGGGGATATGATAATACCGTAGTTAAAACTTTTAATGTTTCTTTTGAAAACTGAGATAAAGTTTAAGAGTACATCTATTTTTGAAATTATTTCTTGAGTGTAGTTATGCCTCTAACAGCTATTTTTCTATTTCAAGACCTTTCATTAGATATTCCAAGTCAGTTCAGAAATAAGCGCACTAAGAATCAAGAAAATGGACCAGTTTGTTCATTACGAGGTAAAGATACTTTAATCTTACAATTTTTTTTCTGCCATAGCTGAATAGATAAGTTTCATCTCTGTGTGCTATGTTGTCAATTGCTTTAATATATTTGTTTTTAAAGTAACACCCAAATGTTTCTTCCTGTATGTGCCTGCCAGATAATAGGGGAAGCATAAAATATTCCTCGCCTTTCTATTCTTTTTAATACTGGTTTTAAAATCGAGAGTATAACAAGACTTTTTCTGGCTTAATGAAATAGAATTTATTCTATAAATATCCCACTAGTATCCATAGGAAGAAAGAATACTTAGCAAAGTTTTCTGAATTGCGGTTTTTATTCTTTGATTAATAGTCTGAGAAATCTATTTATTTGATGATTAATAGTTTGAGAAATCTATTGATGACACAACTGTTGGTTAAGCCCGAGGCCCTGCTTTTAATTGCATTAAAGTTCACATTTACTTTGGGAGATTTGAACAAATTTTTTCTTTGATAAATTAACTTAGTCCAGGCAATGACTAATTGTTCTTGTTAGTCATAAAAGAAGAAACTAGGATAGAAGAAAAGAAGAGGACCTAGTGGGTGTTCTATCATTATGTGACTCTACACTGTATTGTATAATAAAAGCAGTTCTTTCCTCTTCCTTCAGGTGTTTTAGGAAGTACTGTCATAATGATGTATTTATATGGACACACACATATAATCTTTTCCCACAAAGGATTCCATTGGTCTAAATAAGACCTCACTGTCCAATATAGCAACCATGAGTCAGTCACAGGTAGCTGGCAAAATGTAAAATTAACATAAAGTAAAATTTCAGGTGCTAACTAACCACATGTGGCTACTGTATTGGACAGCAGATGCAGAACATTTCTACTGCATAAAGTTCTACAGGAGAGAGTTACCCTAGAATCAAATTATCCTAGTAAAAAAAGTAACTTCCCGCTGGGGCAGAGAGAGACATGCCTGTCACGGGCGCACGTGCAGCATTTGGCTTGCTTCACGCGGAGCAGCAAGGTCTTGCTTGTTGTACTGTTACTCTGGCCATTTCTTGGAATCTCTCAGGAATGACTGTCAACGACACTGGATTACTGTGAGAAACAGAAACAAAGCAACTCCAAGTATGAAAACATCTTGTACTTTTCATTTGTTCCCCACCTAGGCAACAGTGTTGATTATCTCTTTTGAACAGGAATACAGAAGAAATTTAAGGAAGCCCTAGCCACTCACTTCCCCCTAAAATATATGGCTATATTTCTCCAAAACTTTTTTTAGCCTATTTGAGATGAAGAGAATATCACAATATGCTTAATATCAAATGTCAAGGCATTCTCTCTATGGCATGTGAATAGAAGTAAAATTTAGACAGGAAATCAATGAGAATTAAATTATTAAAGGAATTTGAGAGCCTTAAATTATGTAATCCAAATTGGGTTATGGCTTCATCTTCTAATTTTTTCAAAAAGAAGAGTAATAATGATGTTAAAAAGTGCTGTTCCTCAATATAAATACAAAGATAAATATTTAATACAAGGATATATATTTGAACCATATTTCCTAATGTTTAACAAAACCCAGTAAGTCCAATGATCTTTGGTTGGAAGGCCCAGAGACACTTGTTTGTTCGGGCTTCTTTCCTTCCTTCCACAATGCCTTCCTATGCAGAATTGGTGAAATACATGGCTCTTAATCGCCTCTACAGCATTGCACTTACTGCCTTTTCCAGATGTTTTAATACTGAGAGACTTTCTCTGCTTGAGACCATCCAGGAGGAAAGTATAAGACACAGCTTAGGTGGGTGCCTGGTACTGCAAACAGGAAAAGTGGCCAGTGGGATTTGCCTCACATTCCAAGTAGTGTTTTCTTACTATAGCCTCGTTGAAATCTGATGTGATTGGTGTTAGCATCCTGTGGTGCTTTAGGGTTTGGCTGGGAACATACTTCCTGTATTCTTAGCTGGCTTTCCTTTGAATTCTCGGACTTGATTTTTATTTTATTAATGAACTTACTGTTGTCTTTAAGTAGAGAATGGGGAGTTACTGGACCGTATCTTTTTGTTTACCACTGTTATCATTATCAGTTATGGCACTACTTTTCTTGGACATCTAAAGTGTGATGCATTTTAGTTGGTTGATATGCATTTCTTTACTAACTAGAGGTGGAGATATGTGATTACCTGATAAATCTTGCTTTTACATGCTTTGTAAGTCTACTTGGCAAGAACTACTTGGGTGCTTTTTGGATCTGTAAGTGTTAAGCTTAGTTTTTTCATTTACATAGGAAAGGTGGTGGGGAGAAAACCTGGGATTTGAAATTAACAAAAGTATGCCTATTATGAGAGGCTTACTAATCCTAGTTCTAAAACCTGGCAAAGATACTATCAAAAAGTAAAGAAAATGTAGCCTCATCTTACTAATACTACAGATGGAAGAAAACTAAGTATTAGCAAAAAGAATCCAATACTGTACTAAATAATATTCAGAGGTCAAGTAGGATATATGCCAATAATGCAAGATTGATTTACTATTAGAACATATAGTTTATTGGGAGAAGACAAATGAAAATGCCCAAATAGGTTTTGATAAAATTCCAAATCCACTACTGATTAAAAGAAGGGAAAAAACCCTCTTTTAACTCTTATTAAAGAGGAATAGGAACATTCTTAACTATGATGATCGTTGATAGCTTTTGATGGATAATCCCCCAAATTAATAGTGACGCACTAATGCTTATAATCAGGAACAGCCAGGAGGCCGCCTACTGATAAGGAAGGCAATAAATAAGGAAAGAAAGAAGAGGAAATCAGCATTTGCAGATGAATTAATCACATACCTAGAACAGTTGGAAATTTCATGAGAGTGTTTAAAAGCAGGACTGGGCTGGAAACCTGCTTTTCTAAGCCCTTGATTAAAAAAAATTTAAATACAGACAAAAGCCTGCATAAACAGAGCTGTATCATATTCTTCGATGGGAAGACCCAAGATGCCCCCCCAAATTAATTCTAATTTGTTCCGTGAGCAGAAATTCTTAAAGTTAAAGTTTTCAAATGAAGACAGGGGAACAGGAAAGAGGTGAGATAGGAAATGTCCTACAAGTACTAATTTAGCAGGTGCTGATACAAAAATGTATATGAGAATTTATTATATAGCAAAGGAAAAACTTCAGTGGAGAAAAGTTAGTCAAATGGTGTTAGTGTAAAATTATATTTGGGATAAATGTTAATTTCACCCATAACTGATTTATTTTCCCAAATTAATCTGAGGTTTCAATATTTAATATGAAAAATAAAGCCACACCAAACTATAGGAAAATATCATTTTGCTATTGTTGTAGGGGCACTGTAAGTATATCACAAGGTCAGAACCCATGAAGGGAAAAAAAATTCTTAAATTTAACTGCATAATGGTAAAAGTTACCATAAACAAAATAGAAATAAAAAAAATTGTAACATATGTGGAAAAGAGCATTTAGACAAACTATGTAAGAAAAAGATATAAATGATCAGTTGAACATCTGAAAAAATACTGTCTCACTTATATGCAAGAAAGTATAAATAAAGCAAAATTGGTCAGAATGATAAAAATAGGTAACATCTGTTGTTACTGAAATGGGTACTCTCATGTGTTGGTGTTAGGAGTATAGACCAATACAATTTTTGGAGGGTAGTGATCACCATTTTTAGTGGGCATTTCCTTAGACATAATTTCACTTGCATATGTGGGCAATAGCACATATAAAAGACATTTACTGAAGCATTCTTTGTTATTGCACAAAATCAGAAAAAGTTTCTATGTCTACCAGTAGGGCATAGGTTTAATAAATTGCACTACATAGATGAATGGATAAAGAAGACTGTGGTACATACACACAATAGAATACTATTCAGCCATAAGAAAGAAACAAATCCTACCACTTGCAACAACATGGATGGAGCTGGAGGACATTATGCTCAGTGAAATAAGCCAAGCGGAGAAAGACAAATGCCAAATGATTTCCCTCATTTGCCACAAACTCCAAGAAGGGACTAGTGGTTACCAAAGGGGAGGGGTTGGAAAGGGAGGGAGAAGGGGATTGAGGGGAATGATGATTAGTACACATGGTGTAGGGGAGGATCATGGGGAAGACAGTGTAGCACACAGAAGACAAGTAGTGACTCTGTGGCATCTTACTACACTGATGGACGGTGACTGCAATGGGGTATCAGGGGGGACTTGATAATATGGTGAATGTAGCAACCACATTGTTTTTCATGTGAAACCTTCATAAGACTGTATATCAATACCTTAATAAAAAATTGTTTTAAAAAATTGCACTACATAGCAGTTAAAGATAGCTACAAAATACTGGGCAGTAAAACACTACCCTTGGAAATATATAGAATGACTCCATTTTATAAGATAAATAAACATAGTCCATCTGTAACAGTGATTATTTTAGAGAAGTGGGATTCAGTAAGAAAAGGAATGACTTAATTTTCATTCTTCTATATTGTTTAAATTTTTTTTAACCTATCATGTCACCTTTATGTATTTGTTTTGGGAGAGTAAACAAAATGTGGACTAATTTATGCATACATCCTAATTACTGCTTTACTAAATTAAATTTATGTAGTGCATAAAGGTGATCTAATAACTTCAACAAACAAGTTTTGTTCCCTGCTCTCCATAGGGATGCCATTTAACAGTTCATATAATGTGGAAGACTGACATTTGTGAAATATATGCCCTGAAATCTCTGAGAATCTTAGGAGTTTCAAAAACCACTATGGCATATATTATTTTTTCCTCATGAAATGCAGTAAAGTACAAATGAAAAATTTAAGCACCTTCCTCAGACCCTTAATGAAAGATGTGAAGGTAAGTAGAGAACAACAAAGTTTTGCTGAGATGTGAATGATGGGTAGTTGCGTAATACACTTCCACATAGGAGTTTTGAAAAGCGAAATTTATATTCATGCTGCAGTAAAATTTTAAACTGTAGTACATTTCAGGGTCATTCAGATTTTCCAGATAGTT